GTCAAGCTTCGGTGTGAGCTGATGAGACTAATTTGATTCCCCGTAACACTCTTTGCTAGTCTTCCTATTCATTCGACTGTTTCTTTCAGTCCAGGAATTCAAATCCCCACCACATGAACCAAAAGGTTAATTCTACCTAACGTAATACTATCAGAACATTGATAACAGAATTATGTACATGTTGGCAGTTTATAGTTGATTAAAATGAAAACATTGTGTTCAAGTATGAAACTAATAATATCTTCACAGAGTCATTTCTATGCATTCGAAAGACTGTTCGATGATTAGGCAAAGACAGCTCTTGTTCACGACAGGCATCAGGAGGCTGGTAGTTCATATGAATGAAGATTTCGATAAAGCGACTGACCAGTGAACAAGCATAGAACTTTTCATGTGAATGAATTAATTCAGGATGACACATTTCAAGACAAACTATAGGGAAATGCACAGAAACAGAATGATACTAAAATTGGTTGACATGGGCTTGAATAGAAAAGTAATTAAATGAAAGTATTGAGAATTTTAAGAGTAGATATTCGATATTATATGTCACTGTGGAAGGTTTCTCACGGTACCAACAACACTTTCTCGACCATTGACTCTTTATTTTCTTCACGTTCCCAAGTGGAACATAGGGCTTCAAGCTAGTGGCTTGAAGTTTCTGTAGCAGTGATGCTTACTTTTACAGGATGGGGTTGCTAGCCTCATGTCCAACCTTTCCTCTTCACCAGCATTATTTCTGGCTTAGCGAGGTAAAGAAGTGGGTCGGCCGGGGATCGAACCCCGGACCATGTGCATAGTCGGCGAGTGTCCTAACCGCTATGCCACCGACCCACAACCATTGACTTTTAGCATCCTGTAAATCCCAATCACGTAAACAGCACTTACCCAAGACGCTCAGATTAACATTCACATATTTCATAGTATTAGTCAACTGTAGCTGTAGGGAGAAAAAAATCGAAGAGCTGGAAAATTCGATTAATTTTTTTCCTTTAGGAAATGATACGGATGTTGTGTTGAGAAACATCAACGTTTTAGGAATTCACTTTCTTACCAGTCTCTAAGAATATAACTACCAGCACAAGTAGTATATCGAATTCTTTACCATCATTAATAACAAAATCAGTAGAACAACATTGCCGAAACTGTTATACTCAATGCAACACCGTCAAACTTATTTATTAGAGAGATAGTACCTATTAGCAGATCTGTTGCAATATTTATTTTCAAATCTGTCATTTTACTAACCATACCATGGAACTAGCAAATTACGCCTGTCAGAATAACTTCAACTTGAGAATGTGCTGTAAGGACATATTCTGGGCTCAATCCTTGTACCTCAATATTATATATTCTATTATAATACAGGATCAAACAGGAGTTCTGAGACGTATTAAGCTAAAGAAAAGTCTGCATTCATGTGTCTGAAAGGAATAGAGATAAGATTAAGTAAGAGTTACAATCAACACTAAATTCTCGAAAAAGGATTTTTGTCCACTTACAAGACGCATATTTCAAGCTGAAAATCAACTACCAAATAGCAAGTGTTTAGCATTTTCCAGCTCTGACTACGCACTTTCCAGCTCTGACTACGCACTTTCCAAAAACTTGCGTATGTGTAATGAACTTCCTGCCTCCTCAATCAGCTAATTAGATTTAAGGTGATTTTAAAAGTTCCATTATCTCCACTCAGTTATTGGAGATATACGGATAAGCAACTTATCCCACAAAGAACGAAACAGTTGTTTAGTATTTTGAACAATTCAAATGGTTGACATGTGTGGTGCCTAACTGTCGGTAGTATTTGGTGTTTATTGTGAAATATCTACAAAATGCGGGTAATTGCGATAAAACTATAGATCTGTTGAAAGAAAACTATCAAGCGGAACATTTCAATGATTAAAACACGACCTTTGCTAAAAAAGGTTAACTGACATATCTCCCAATCTTTTCTTTAGTTTACAACTTAATGAAGCCGATTCAAACTTGACTTTCTTCGCGCAGTTGCTTGTGAGCTATGTCTCCAATATTTTGGAATGATGAGTAATCATCAACTTGAAAGCACTTACAACCATATTTCATCCCATTTCCGCATTTTTTAAATTACAGCTTGATTCCACACTGTATTTTTGGTACAAGTATGGAATTTTCAGCGTGGATATCGGTAGCCCAAAATTCGCAGGTCGACCATAGATATCAGGTGTGCGTCAGCGTGTGCTCGAACCTCGGACCATGTGCATGGTCAGCGAGAGTCCTAACCACTGTGCCACCGACGCATAAAGTTGCTCCTTATAACACTTAGCTGACGTTTATCAATCTTTTAACATTATAAGTGTATGTACAAGTGAAAAACACAAAATGAAATAAATCAATCAAATGAGTAACTAAGATGTGTTTATTATTTTTCTACATGGTATCTATAATGCCTTTATCGGTATGTCGAATTCACTGATGTATACTTTTCTTCTCTCTTCAGGTTTTACCTCCGTTGATCGATGTCCTACCAGAAGCAAGACTTAATCTCATAATATTTCATTTAAAAAATGAAAATTTACAAGAAGCCTATGAACTTACTAAAGAAATCGATCCAAGTACACCACAAGAATATGTATTAAAAGGAGTTGTAAATGCTATTCTCGGTCAAGAACATGGTTCTCGTGAACATTTAAAAATGGCTCAACAATACTTTCAATTAGTAGGAGGATCAGCAAGTGAATGTGATACAATATCCGGACGTCAATGCATGTCTTCTTGTTTCTTTCTTCTTCGTCAATTCGATGATGTTCTTATTTACTTAAACTCAATAAAGAGTTACTTTTATAATGATGATATATTTAACTTCAATTATGCTCAAGCGAAAGCAGCTGTAGGCGCATATAAAGAAGCACAGGAAGTATTTCTATTAATACAATCAGAACGTTTACGTTCAGAATATGCCTATTTAAGTTGGTTAGCCAGATGTTATATAATGACAAAACAAGCACGTTTAGCTTGGGAACTTTATTTAAAAATGGAAACTTCAGCAGAATCCTTCAGTCTATTACAGTTAATTGCTAATGATTGTTACAAAATGGCACAATTCTACTATGCTGCTAAAGCTTTCGATGTATTAGAAAGATTGGATCAAAATCCAGAATATTGGGAAGGGAAACGTGGGGCATGTGTTGGTGTTTTTCAACTTATTATAGATGGACAAGAACCTAAAGAAAGACTTCGTGAAGTTGTACAAATTTTAAGGAATACAAACAATCCACAAACAGAATATTTTATACGTGTAATGAAAAAATGGGCCAAAGAAAATAAAATTGTTGTATAAATAACCCACTTTAAATGTTGTACCTAATTTGTGAATGTCAAAAGATATAGAGTGTTGTAATAAATGTTCAATACTTACAAGAAATTAAAACAAAAATTAATAATGAGAACACAAAGTGGCGTTTAGAATCAATGATAACTTTAAAGTTAGCCTATTTTCTATAGAGAAACAGTTTTAGCTTAACTGCAAAAGTGAATGAATGAAATAGCTTCTCGTTACTGCATCAGTGGTACAAGGCAATCATATAACTAATAATGAAGTCGGAGACCTACCCGAATTGTCGTCAAACACCACTTTAACATCTCTATATACAAAGTTTTGGTTTCACATTCGAAAGAGGACTAGGGAAAGCAAACCAATGTGCATAGTACTTCTTAGCCTATTGAATAGATTCAGATGGAGTGTAATTTAAAGCCAATTTAATGATGTGTGCCTTCGGTTCACCTTACTAATAATCAAGTTTACATGTCATCCCAAAAGCCGAAGTATATGAAAAGAATTTTGATGTGGTTGAGTACTTTAAGCACGTCGGTTTAATTGTGAAGCTTGCATTGGCTTTCTAGACAACATCTTCAGTGTGAAATTTACTATAAATTGAACTTTTTCGAATTCTCCATAAATGATATAATTGTATCTTCTGAGAGCCTTTATCAAATTCCAAGTCAATAAAAACAGTCAATCGCAAAAATGGTTGTCAGGAGACATAGGTATATCATTCATGGAGAATTCAAAGAAGTACATTTCATATTGGAGTTTGTGCTGCACATGTTGTTTAGAAGGAGAATGAAAGCTTCGCAATAAAACCACCCATCTCAGAAAACACAACCGCACCAAAAGTCTCCATGTGAACTACACATCTCTATTATATGAACAATACTAGCAAAGTTACTTTTGAAACAACAGACTAGGTTGACAGTTTCGTATGCACTTGAAAATGTTACACTTCACTTTATCATTTGGCATGAATGAAATATGTTAACTGAGGTAGCATTGGTTTGAAAGAAGGAATATCACAAATCCAGGAGACCAACAACTTCTTGCTTAAGTTTTGCGCAGAAGTTTAAATTATTCAACTGACTTCCTGGAATTATTGAAAATCAACTATCGAGGAGAATATTTCCTACAGGTTGCAGACATTTATCAACAACTGTCTTCGCTCTATACTGAAGATCAGATGGCCGGGCCGGAGAGAATCACCAACAAGAAACTATGTGAACAAACAAAACAAGAGCCGATCGCCCAACAAATATGCAGGAGAAAGTGGAGATGGATAGGACACTGGCTGAGGAGGCCGGTTGGTGACATCACGCGTCAGGCCTTCGAGTGGAACCCGAAAGTTTAGAGGCGAGTGGGACGTCAGTGCAAGGGTGACATGGAGGAGATCGTGTGAAGAGGAGTCGAAACAGTATGGACTAACATGGATGCAGGTGAAAAGTACTGCAGAAGGAAGACAGAAGCAAGTGGAGACGTGCAGCTGAAGCCCTATGTTTCACTAGGAACCCAAGGGAACAATAATAATAATAATAACTATCGAGGAGTCTTCCTCTCTCTCAGTGATAGTCGATAATGGAACAGGTGTAGGCCAGAAAGACAAATCCCCTTTTAGACTAAACTAAATGCGAAAACTGTATCCATTAAAATTATATAAAGTAGTTCTGATTAGGAGTTAGTAGTATATTCTCATTAAAGTAAAGAAATGAACAATGCATAAGATGCAAAATAGTATGTACATATTTATATTTACATATTTGTCAAATTATCATATTACAATTGGCAGTAGTTTATAGAATAGAGAAATTGTTCACTTTTTTAAATGTAATTTAGCTAGTTCATCAATCCGGTGAAGATCTTTTAAAGAATACTGTGCACTTCCACGAGGAAGTGGTTTACTCTACAAAAAGGAAGAAAACAAAAGAAAGGACGATGAGTATATGCGAGTTACACAGAGCAGAATTTAAATAATGACTGTCATTTATATCCCCTAATCAATCTATGATGAAAATACTTTCAGGTTGCTTAAAGGTTGAGATGATTTTATGTAATAAATTGAATTCCTGGGGGAAGAAAATTCATGCGAACACATGAATTGGTTGTGATACGATAACTCAACTTAATTGTGAATCCTAAAGGCTTACTGGAATCTGCTGACTTACTTAAGAAAGAAATATATGCAGTACAAAATGCCGGTGAGTATACGAAGACAATTTAAAATTTATTGGGTACAGCTTAAACATGTAGAAAGAATAGACATAGGTAAAATCAAGTATTATTTATCCTATTATAGCTTGACTCGACATAGTATTTTGGTACTACTATGGAATTTTCAGCATGTGATAATGGTAGCCCAAATTTAGCAGGTTGGCCGTTGGTATCAGGTGTGCATCGGCCGGGGATCGAACCTCGGACCATGTGCATGGTCGAAGAACGTCCTAACTGCCGTGCCATTGATGCATTTAAAAGAAGTGTGTTCTATGTTTAAAAGTCTTAAAATTGTACATAGAAGGTAGTGACACTGTCCTATTCAACTATTTATACTGTCTTCAAGTGTTGGTTTGCAAGTATTTCACTGGTTTCAGTTTGGATTGTAAGCTGCATTCAGTTGCAGGACCACCAAGAACCATCAAAGAATACTGCACAGGTGTTTCATCGTACGGCTTCTCAACGATATGCACCCATGGCTCCACCTGGGATCGAATTCAGAAGCTATGGGTTACGAGATGACACTATTGAGCATCCATCCACTAGGGCAGAATCCAATGGTGCATGAATGCGCAACCAACAACCAATGTCAACGATGAGTATTTATCACCAAATTTGACTTGGTGGGCCTCACTGGTCACGACTTCATACTAGAACTCTAGGCGGCCTCATTCTGTAGTCAGTCGATAGTCGGGATTAAATTAATTTTTATATTGTGAGTATTGATGATAAGTAACACGCATGAATAATTTACTAGTTAATAACATTTTCCACTATTTCCTTAAATTAGATAAGAGCAGTAACAGAAAAGACATAAAAATGGTAATTTAAAAGAAAAACTGCAAAGTACATTATTGCTTACTTGAGACGGATCAGGTTTCCAGCCAATAAAGAATAAAAGTCTATAGGTCGCCGGGATACAACGTTCATTCTCTTCTCCGCCAACGCGAGGAACACCAAATTTTTCTACAATTGAAAAGAATAAACTAAAATTGTGATCTAGAAGTGTATTCAATGACCCTCACTAAAGACGTATGAAAATTCAAAAAAGAAAACGGACCATTCCAAATCTTATAAGGTAACTGTAACCATTTGAATTCATCTGAAGAATCACGGGACGCTAGTGAGTACCAAATAAATCATTTTACAAGCCCATGAGACCATTACATTCTCAAAAATCACACGACTATATTCATGGTCGAACCTATGAAATTCAGTTGTTCCATTCGTCTCACATATCAAGTCAGTGCTTCTATAAGTTTTAGAGACTTGGTGAGTCAGGATAGGCATTCCCAACAAGTTAAAAACTTCTGCTAACACCTACCACCTTGGCTACATACTGAGGATAAGATGGCTAGAAAGGATTATCAAAAATGAACTCTAAAAGATTGAGTTTCACCACAGAACTTAGCAAAGAAGTGCAGCAGCGCAAGTTGCCACACTCCTTGTAACATATAAAGACAAACAAAAGAGAGAGAGAAAAGATTCAAAAATATGAGGAGGAAAAAACAGCAACATGGAAAAATATGATGGTTCAGAGGATATGGGTGATGACAAAGAGTGAATGCATCTGTGCTACTGATAACGATTTTGAGCCACATCGCCAACAGTCTCCAGTCATTTTGGATCTTAGTATTTTGAGGAACTCTGCAAACGAACGAACCAAGAACCTATTTGTCTAGTCCAACAAATATGCGTAACGCGAAATGGAGATGGGTCGGATATATTCTACGGAGTGTATTCAGTGATATCATGCGCTGGGCCTACAATCGGAACCTCAACGAGTTGGGTGTTGGTCCGAGGGTGACATGGAGGAGATTGTATGAGGAGGAAATAAAAGCCTTCTAACAATCATGGAGTCAGCTAAAAAGGCAGATGTGCTGCTGAAGCTCTCTGTTTTACTAAGAACCCAATGGATCGGGTGCCAATGGCTTAATGGTCTGCGAGCTCGCCTTGTAACCAGAAGGACATGGATTCGAACCTCAGTTGGTGCGTACTGTGAAGAGCCCCAAATTGGGACGAAACTGCTGTACAGCACTCCCGGGTTTCCCAAAGATTCTCTAATTGAAATAATAGAAAATATTTTATCTAACGAATTAATTATGTGCATAAATGTCAGAGATAAATAATCAACTTAGTTTTTCTTTCAGAAAAAGTAATGCTTTTCTATGCCAACCAGAATGCCCTAAATTTGATTTCGTAAATGCATACACTAATGAATAGTTTTAAACATTAACAAATTTTTTAAAATACAGGAGAATAAGCTAAGAAATCGAAGTGTCATTACCATCATATATTACTGAGGCAGCGAGAAGAACGTCACGATTCAAGCGTAACGGTCTATGTACAACTGCATTTGATTCACCCATACACCGTAAATCATTCATAAGTGCAAACATATTAGGATAATGAATTACCAACTCGTCAGCATCCTAAAAAGAGAAAAAAACACAAATTAAACAACTAAATGTTCGTAGATCTGCGTGTATTTATTTCAAAATTCATAGCAATTCACTGTGATAAACAATAGGGGGAAACAAAAGAGTAACTTTTAGAAAAATTTTGAGCATTATTTTGCATAGTGTGTATTTTAGGAAGTATTTCCATTTCAATCTATGCTCTGTAGTGTTTTTATAACTGACTCTACGATTTGCTCACAAGCTTTTGCTTCCTCTTCGCACGATCTCCTTCATCAACTCTGAGACGGATGCCAAACTTAACGCTTCCCGTTAGGATTCCAGTCGAGGACCTGGTATGAGAAATCAATTTTCAGTGTATTTCCAATCCCTCCCTAATTCCTTTTGCTTAGTGATATAATTCTTATCGAATTAAACTTAATATCCTTTTAAGTTAAGCTTGAGGGGTGAACAGGAGTATGATTGCGGGCTAGTTCTTGCAAAGGCTTAAGTTGTCTTTCTTTGGGAGTTTAACGAGATGACTGTTTTTCAAATCAGTAATTACCCTAAACGAGTCTTGGTAAAATGATAATTAATCGAAATACATCTAGAATGTAAGAAAAGTTCGGATTTTGACGATTTTTAGTTAAACACTTCAAAATTTATACTGGTTGACATATGTTAAGCTGGTTAAAGCAAGATTTTACCGCCTTGGTCTATCCCTACTTTACACGTTATCCCCAAATAACAAATAAGAACCCCGGTAGGTGCGCACTGATGAAGAGTCCCAAACTAGGACAGAATAGCTGTCCAGCACTCCCAGGTTTTCCAGTGGTTCTGTAACCGATATAGACACAAGTCCTCCATCCCTGACTGAGGTTACTAAAGCTGTCACCAATCTGAAACTAGGCAAAGCAGCGGGATCTGATGGAATGACTCCAGAGGTATTTAAGTACGGTGGAGACAGCTTACTGTCTGGATTAACTGAGGTACTAGGCAGCGTCTGGGAATCAGAAGAAGTCCCATCGGGTTGGTGTAAGTCACTGATTATCCCGATATACAAGAAGGGAGACAAGTCTTCCTGTGATAATTACAGAGGGATTAGCTTGACTAATATAGTATCTAAAGTCATAGGCTCAATAATCATCCGTAGACTAAGTGGTGCTCGGGAGGCACAAACACGAGAGAGCCAGGCAGGCTTTAGACCAGGAAGAGGGTGTATTGATCATATCTTCACCCCCCGACAGATTCTGTCTGTCTGTCTCTTTTCGACATAGAACTTGGCACAAATGTGCGGAAGTTCAAGTCGCCACATTCCGTGTAGCATGCGAAGCAAGAGAAGAAAGTACAAGAAAAGCATAATAGAAACAGTGAGCAGAGGTGTGAGACAAAGGAGGAGTAATAACGAAGAACAAAACAGTTTCATTGGAGATCATAAGTCACAAGGAGTGGATGCATCTGCGCCACTGAGAACGATTTTGAGCCATGTCACCAATTGTTTCCAACCATAGATTTTTACCGTCCCGAAGACCCCAGCCTGGAAGTCTACACCTTCCTACGTGGCTTAGACCAACTGTTGTGGATTTCATTGACTGATGCCAAGTTTTTGTTTGACCGCCGCTAGCTTTTTTCCAGCCTGACCCTATATCCGCTAACATTGCTCGTCGAGGGAGGCGATGGCTTGGAATACGTAACACATGTCCTAACCATCTCAGTCTTTGTAGCTTCACGACTTCGTCGATTGATTTCCCCTGTTTACCTAGAACTCTACGCCTAACCTCAATGTTGCTCACCTTATTATGCCACTTTACACGGGAAATAGAACGCAGGCACCGACAGATTCTAGAACATAGGAATTCCTACCGGCGTCCAACAGTCATTATATTTCTTGACCTAAAGGCAGCATTCGACTCTGTCGATCGAGAAGTTCTCTGGAGATGCTTGACTGTAAAGAGAATTCCGAGAAAATATATTGCACTGATTAAGGCACTCTACTCGTACTCATACAGCCAGGTGAGAGCTTACGGCGAGTTGTCATCTGAACTGATGACGACCAGTAGTGTCCGTCAAGGATGCCCATTATCCCCTTTTCTATTCAACTTCATCACAGATGTGTTAATGGACTTAACCCTAACTCACTTCTGCGACTCAGGGATTGACTTGCTACCAGGGAATAATCTCGTTGACTTGGAATATGCAGATGATATACTCCTTCTAGGTGAGGACGCTGACAAAATGCAGAGTCTTCTAAACACCTTGAGCTACAATCTACGAATGTTTGGCATGAGATTCGTTCCCGACAAATGCAAGGTGATGTTACAGGACTGGACTACACCGACTCCTAGATTAGAAATAGGGAGTGAAGTGGTAGAGCACGTTGACCACTTCGCTTATTTGGGAAGTTGCGTCAGCTCCAACGGGTTGATCTCTGATGAAATCTCGGCACGGATACAGGGGGCTCGTTTCGCATTTGTTAGTTTACGCCGACTCTGGCGTAGACGAGATGTTCGACTATCGACCAAAGGGCGGGTGTACTGCTCATCAGTCCGCTCCGTCCTCCTTTATGGTTGTGAGACCTGGCCACTGAGAGTGGAAGACATGAAAAGACTAGCTGTCTTTGATCATAGGTGACTGCGTTCTATTTCCCGTGTAAAGTGGCATAATAAGGTGAGCAACATTGAGGTTAGGCGTAGAGTTCTAGGTAAACAGGGGAAATCAATCGACGAAGTCGTGAAGCTACAAAGACTGAGATGGTTAGGACATGTGTTACGTATGCCAAGCCATCGCCTCCCTCGACGAGCAATGTTAGCGGATATAGGGTCAGGCTGGAAAAAAGCTAGCGGCGGTCAAACAAAAACTTGGCATCAGTCAATGAAATCCACAACAGTTGGTCTAAGCCACGTAGGAAGGTGTAGACTTCCAGGCTGGGGTCTTCGGGACGGTAAAAATCTATGGTTGGAAACAATTGGTGACATGGCTCAAAATCGTTCTCAGTGGCGCAGATGCATCCACTCCTTGTGACTTATGATCTCCAATGAAACTGTTTTGTTCTTCGTTATTACTCCTCCTTTGTCTCACACCTCTGCTCACTGTTTCTATTATGCTTTTCTTGTACTTTCTTCTCTTGCTTCGCATGCTACACGGAATGTGGCGACTTGAACTTCCGCACATTTGTGCCAAGTTCTATGTCGAAAAGAGACAGACAGACAGAACCGATGTCAGCTCATGAGGAAATCCTGTAACCAAATACGAAGCTATTTTAGACAGTTAAAAAAAAACTTAACTAGAGTTTTGTAAATCAAGAAGAATTATACACTGTTCTAGTCTTATGACAGTTACATGATAATTTTGTGCACTTATGGTTCATTGATCCGACACCCACTGTCATTGAATTATCAACTCAGACAATGGGTAAGTTTTATTGACAAATGGGTAGATAAAAACTATCACACAAAGGGATCCCTTTTGTCAGCTAAGTTTTACCTTTATATTAACATAGTAAAAATAGATTCAAAATACCTACTTATTATTTGTAATTTTCAGAGCAGAAGGAACAATTTACACATGAAATCGAGGAGGTTGGTTGTCTGCGGAAAGTAAGGTATTGCCTTCAAAATCTTCTTCAGCTAACAGTTAAACTTCATACTCACATTCTTATAATGGAGAGAGTTATCTCAGTTGGTGGATGGTGTCTAGCAGTGGAATCCAGGATGCGCATTTCGTCCTATTTGGTGTTTCGCGTGGCCCAAGTGGTCTAGTGGATAACGCTTTGGCTGGCGTTTGAAACTATAGGCACTGGGTTCGAGCCTCGGTGGGAACATCATCACTCACTGAGAAATGCAGGTACATCCAGATGACGAGTCCCAAATAGGACGAAATGTGCATCCTGGATTCCACTGCTAGCCACCATCCACCAATTGTATACTAATTAAATGCCCAGACATCATCGAAGCATCTGCACAAGAAGCCGACATGTCAACCTGAGACCAAGCACTTCGGTCCAGTCAATCGACGGGAAAATCAAAAATTCAATTCAAGAGTTATCTCAACTTGCACTGTGCAATGTCACTCTCCAATCAACCTTTATTTTATGAACAACAGACCGGACATTGTTTGTGATACTTGTTTACAATCATCACTACATCAGAGTAACAGATGTTAATCACGTCTGTACAATGTAAACCACTGGTGACTTACACAAGCCAAACATAGAGGCTGACAACAGTCAGACAAAAATATAACCAACTGTATGCATGCACATATATATATATATATAAAGAACTTACTAATGTTATTAAATTGAATCCAGCAGATTGTAGTAGATCAGCCATGTCCACACTGTCAACAAATGGGCTAATATGTGATGAGATACCGCCTAATCTTTCTAATTCAGCTAATTGTAAAGATACACGCAGTTCATACAACGTGTCAGTTGCTGGCATTACACCTAGAAAGCATCCATCATTGCGTAAACATGTCAGTATCTATAATTTTTGGATTTTTGCAAAAGCAGGTAAGAAAAAAATACAACTGAAGAACAGAATCTTGGTTACAGCGGTAGGATATAAATCAATATTAGATAAGTTAACTTGAAATAACACAGAATAATATAGTGCTAAGAAAGTTGTGAACCATATTAAGGATAAATATTTTATACTATTAACACATTAATATACTGTCAAACAAAAGAATTAAACATAATGATGTAAAGGATCCCTGTCTTCTCACAAAACGAGTTATTTGTATATAGTTATTATTTATTCACTGTGCTCCCAGTGGAACATAGGGTTCCACGGGTACATATAGATTGCCCTTGGTTGTCTGCTATCCTTTTCAACTGGCTCCAGCACTGACATCAAGTTTTAATTTCCTCTTCACATGATTTTCTTCAAGTCATCCTTGGACACCCAATTCGTCGCCTCCTATTCAGATTCCACTCGAGTGTCTGGCGTGTGATGTGATTTTTGCATATCTCACTACACGGTCAATCTACCTCCATTTCATTCTGCATACGTGTTGATAGATCAATAGTTTTTTGGTTGGTTCGCCGCCAGAGTTCACTGTTGCATACTCTTTTTGGTTGGCTTTCTGATTTTTCGTATAGAGCAAAGACGAGTGTTGATGAAAACCTTTAACCTGTTGGAAATGATACTGATGACACATGACGTCAGTGAACTATGTGTAAGCACAAACTTCACATTAGTGTTAAACATTTTAGATCATGCTCCTTGTGGATATTCACACAGATTTCGGAGTAATGGACGCTTGTCTTGCTTTCCCCACTATGGCTTCCTTTGACATCTTCATCCGTACTGATTGTACTTAATGCTATCAAGCTCAGGGAAATGAAAGAGACAAATTCCTTCAGAATTCTTCCATTGATGGATATCTTTATCACCTCTACCTTTTGTTTATTCGAGTGAAATCCTCTCTTCACTGCCTCTCTTGTACATCTTCAAGTCCGCATATATTCTCACAAGCAAATAAGAAATAAAGATATAATATTTAAGAGTTTGTTTGTGGGGATTTGATTTGTTCCAAGTTTTGACCACAGATTGATACAAGTTAGACAACCACTGAAAACCAATGCGTACTGGATAGTTGTTTCGTTCTAGTTTTGGAGTCATTAGTAGCACGCGCCCACTAGGGTACGATCCCAGGACATTCCGGTTACAAGGCAAGCTCGTATATCACTCAGCCACTGCGACCCGATTCAATGGTACTTGAATTCTAACTTTTACCGATTCGTGACTTTAGCACGAGCTTGCCTTGCAACCGGGAGGTCCTGGGTTCGAAACTCGGCGGGTGTACACTGCCAATGAGTGCTGAACTAGGACCAAACAACTGTCCAGTACTCTCTGGTTTTCAATGGTTCTCTAAATGGTATCAATCCGTGATCAAAACTAGGAGTGTAATGATAAAAATGTAGAAAGAATCAGATTTAATCATAAATAAAAAGTGAACTTACTTGTTTTAATAAACCGGGTAGATCATTTATCCAATGGAGGCTTTTGTAAGAAAAAAAGAAAAGATTAAATGTTAAAAAATAAAATTTGAAATTAGCCAAGGCTTAATGAAGTCTTGGTTAATTTGAAAAAAGAATCAGTTTTTATTATAATGGATAAATATGTAACAATGATTAACTATTTTTATTGCATGCAATGACGAAACGACTCTCCACTATTTCTTAGTTCCTAGTGATTCTTCAACTGATTTCATAGTTTTGATAAGAAGACTATTTTGGAATTAACATACAGTCTGACAAAAGTTATGTATGTGTGCTGTGTTTGTGAAGACGAAGAGTCAGAGTACGATTAAATGTCATATTTCAGACTAAATTATACTGTCAAACTTAAAACCTAAGAATATTTAAGCCTTGAGAGCACATTTAAACATCAGAGTGATATGTTAAATTGGATGGAATGAAAATGAGAAGATACTGAGGGAGAATTAGATGGGAGAGTAACGTCGACACCTACGACATCTGTGACATGATTCTTCCACGGAAATGTTGATTGTCAGTGTAGTCTTTGACTTTAATAGGAAATATGAGTCTATTCACAGCTTCAAATACTTTTTTTAGCGAGGAAGGCTAGCAAGTACAGATTTCTGTCAATCGACACCAATAAACTTTCAACAATAACGCCACTCGAAGCAAGCGGTTATACGTTAGTCGAGATAAACTTCACTGTATACTTGTATATACATCACTTGTTATTGACAAATACAGGTTTCTATAGATGGGCATTTCATCGTCTTTGTAATTTTTCCAAAGTTTTACAAACGCATCCAGCAATGAATCCGCACGGATCATTTTAATGCTCCGTGGCTAGATGGCTAGGGGAAACTATGAGACCAGATTTTTTAAAAAGGTGACAAGGAAACACGGTTTGAAAGGTAAGTTAGATTTCACAGATAGATACTACGTTAAAAGGGGAATAGAAAATGCTTGTTACACCTGTAAGTTCATGCCAAAGAACCCAATGTTTGAAAAAAATCAATCATAGGTTTTAATGGCACCTTTGAATATGTGACGAAGACAGGATAAAATAAGGTTGAGTGTCATCACAAGATAAATATTTTCAAATTGTAGATGTTAAATGGTTGTTTGTGCTGCAGCAAAGAAATCATGGTCTACATTCTCTTTCTCTTCCCCGATCTCTAATTCACACAGAGAGATGAAATAATGGGTGAGGCGGGATGGGGGGAAATTACCTCATAGAGCTTAGAACCAAATCCAAAGTGTTTGGTCGGAAGGGTAGGACATTTTCAGGACAATGAATGCTATATGTGGGAACATCTGCGGGTGGTAATACCTGTTTCTGAAAGAAATTGAAGAATAAAGACAAATTTAGAAACCAATGGAAATAACACAAATGTAGTATTTTTGTGTTATATTACGGTTTTATGATATTATTAACCATAATCAAAGAGAAGTGAAATGATAAATTTGTGAAATAATGAATTTATTGAATGTAATGGTTAAAATAAAACGACTCTTAAAGTGGGTGACTGAGTTTCAACAAAGAACTTTGCACAGAGGTGCAGCAGTAGAAAAAAATGCCACAATCTATGTAGCATACAAAGGTAGACAAAAAAGAGGAAGAAAAGAGACCCAAAACGAACTATAATAAGCAAAAATTTATGGGATAAACAATAATTACATGAAGAAACATGAGGACTTAATAGATCTGGGAGATTAAAACAGTGAATACACCTGAGTCATTAAGAACGATTTTAAGCCATGTCACCAATAGTCTCAAGCTACTGGTTGTTACTATCTCCAGGATTACAACTAAGCTAACTGTATCTCTCTTTGTAGCTTAAACCAACAGTTGAAGACTTCATGGATTGATGCCATATTTTTATTTGACCATTCCAGACTATTTCGCCACTTGATCCTATGTCACCTAACGTTGTTCAACAAGGAAGGCAATCGCTCGTCATGCTTTAGGTGTGTTCTAGCCATCTCCATCGATACATCTTCACAACCTCACTGACTGACTTGCCCTCCTTACTTAGCACTATGCAGCTAACCTCAATATTATTCATTGTTATACCACATAACAAGGGAGATAGAACGCGTTTTGGGGTTTTCGAAAATCACATAGAACGTTTCGGAACAAAACCACTTCATATAAGATATAATCCAAATTTTTTAATAGAATTGAAGACATAAAATAAAATTCAACTTGAACTAAACGCTTTCCTTTCATAAACTGATACTATCAACAAATATCTGATAAGGATCTTCGTTATATATATATATATATAATTAAACGCTACTTTTATGATTTATACGCTTATTAAACCAAAATAATTAGCATATATCCGTAATCTGACAATGTAGAGCAACTTATCACAGAACTTTGGTTGAATTACCCCATAAAAGTTGAAATTTCGTAAATTCTGACTTATTATTACCGTAAATAAGACTATTAGCATTAGAAACTGAATTAACATTTAACCAATGCATCATATATTACCTTTAACCAACAAAATAGAAGCTTCATTTGACAAATATCTTTGTAAATAATGGCTTCAAATCAACTTGAAAAAAAAGTTAGACATACCAAGATCTCAGATGAACCATCTAATTGGTAGAGAACACCAACATTGTCCGAGGTAATAAACTGAGATAAATGACCTCGACCACAACCGATATCTAAAGCCACGTCGAATTGCCTGTTGAACCAGTAAACAAATTGACAAGTATCTTTCATAAGAAGAGATTTGATCACAACTTTCGGTATTTATTAGCTGTGGTATTATTGGAATTCAGTTATATGAAAAGTAAGGCTATGGCATTTTGAGGAAGATCTGCGTCACCATATACTATCAGAGAGTAACGCATAACGGAAGGCAAAACAGCTGGTTTTTGTTATCGCCTTACAGATAATCAACTATTGTCTCAGAGTAATCATATACTGAAGTACATAACTTTATAATATACTGTGAAACTGAAACTAAAATATGCAATTACAAGTTAATATGATGATGGAAACAAAGATAATCTACCCAGTTTGATTTAGTTGTATCATTCTCTTTACAGGTAAATGTCTCCCAATGAGAATTGCTATCAATACCAACCAAAATGTGATAATAAAGCATCTTTAGCATAGCTCAATGTGACGGCTGATATAACATCAGTTCCAACCAAAACATTCTCAAAGTGAGACTTGGTAAAGGAATTAAAGTCATGTTACTGGACAGATTTGACTGCATCAATAACATGAAGAGAAGCCTGGAAGATGATGTAAACATCCAAACTGGTATAAAACGTCTATGCTGAATAATTTTAATTTTTTCTCCTTTACATTCCCTAGTGGAACATAGGGCCTCAAGCTAGTGGCTCGAAGTTTCTGTAGCAGTGTTTATTTTTACATGATGGGGTTGCTAGCCTTATGCCCAACCTTTCCTCTTTACCAGCATTATTTCTGCCTCAGTGAGGTAAAGGAGTGCGTCTGTGGCCGGGGATCGAACCCCGTACCATGTGCATGGTCGGCAAGCGTCTTAACTGCTATGCCACCAACGCACACGAATAATTTTAATAAGCAAACTTAAAGTCTGATTAGGAAATATCGACTGATAACGGAAGCTTTGCTTATCGAATCAACTGAAAGCATATGCTATACGAAAGATCTAATATTTATCCTGGACATCTGAAAAATTCTACTACTCCTAGGACAAATGGGGAGGAATAAGGAAAACTGTAAAACTTAAGTTTTGTGCTTATAATCGATATGATTATGAACAATATATTGTGTCTGAAATATCATTCCGTAAATAATACTTTTTCACTGTGTGATATATCCAATAAACAAATTACATACGGACAAAGTGGCAAATTTGTACACATATATTAATGGAAAATACTTATTTACTTAAACTGCATTGTTGTAGTTGCTTATCCCATGAAATTTATCACAATCACTGGTGATTACCAGATAACTATCTATTCAAGAGGCATTCAAGACACCAATCAGTAAAATAATCATTATAAATGCGAATTTCCGCATTTATATTAGGTAAAAGTAGTTGATAAACGTTTATTTAACGCAGCATACAACACACGTATTCACAGATATATTTTTTTAGATGTTGTTTCTAAAGGAATGATATTGGCTGTTTTAATTAACCATCGCTTTATAGTTTCGCAGAGACTGAATATCTCAAAATACAAACGTTAACTTTAAGATAAGAGCAATACTAGATTCTTCATTTAATGAACGTAAATATTTTCAACCAACCTATTTTACCTCTTAATCTTGAAGAGTCGTATGGAACTAAAAGATGCTGAGGAAGCAGAAAAAAGAAGCAAAAACGAACAGATAAGCAATAAACAGCTTGCCTATAAGGAATGCTAACTACGAAATATACCGTACTTAAAGAATGGATTATAAATACACGTCTCTTTACGATGAAGCAACTTCATCAGAAATAAAGGGAGATTATTTTAGGCACTACTTAATAATAATAATAATTTTGAATTAATTTTAAGAGTTGGTTTAGGAGGATTAAATTTATTTTTATGAGTTTGACCACAGATTAATATCAGTTAGAGAACCACTGTAACCAGAAGGTCCTGGGTTCGAACCCCAGTGGGTGCGTACTGCCAATAATGTTCAAACTAAGATGAAACAGCTGTCCGGTACTCCCTGGTTTTCAACAGTTTTTTAACTGATATCAATCCGTGGTCAAACTCGTAAAAACAGTCTTGAATTAATTTTAAAAATTGTTACTTTCGAACATTTTGAGAGATACCCATCAGAAGTATGCTCAACAAGCAACAACAGTACTGATTATTGATCGTCGTGACGACATACTGGTGAGTTTTCTCACATATGCTACTGAGACATAAACCTCATACATTGGTCCATTTGATAGACCGACTTAAACAGGTCAGAAAGTCGAAAAATTGGTGAATAATTTGTAAATTATGTACGAATGGCATTGACTATGTCGACACTCCTCATAACTGAGTTTAACATCTCAAAAGTATTTTTTACGACTGTCCCCAGGAATTACGGCTATGTTGACAAAGATTTGTGAAACATATAATTACCAAAGGAAATAATATAATCAAAAATTAAACCAAAAGTATTTCCAGAATAGTACTAACATTACAACACACATTTAATGGGCACCTTGATATGTCACTCAGTCGATCAGCTAGGCGACTAGCAACCTCTTCACGTATGTAGTCATAAATATGAGGATCTTCAACGAATGTTGATCGCATACGCTGCTTCTTCTTTGCAGATGGATCGAACACCAATTTTTGACTACTACACAGAGGTCTACATCCAAGTCTGAGGCTTGAACATTTGAAGTAGCGCCCAACATTACTAAGCACCTATAATAATAATAATAATAATAACAATAATAATAATAATACAGAGAACAGTGATTTAGCCACATAAACACATTAGATATTTGGTGACAATTAAGCACTTTAAAAATTGAAACAATAATGAGAGTTTACAGCAGTTGGAGGAATTTGTTGCAAATACTGCAACCTAGTGTGTGTAAATGAAAAAAGAATCTCAGCTAGATTCTTAATTGGTTTCAGCCAACCAGATCATTTCGCATTACATTTCACTCAAAAAAGAAGAGTGAAATATAAAAATTGAAGATTAATCAAACATACAAGAGTTACAGGTTTTACTACGGAATAGCCCAATTTCGCAAACATTAAGATCGAGATTTATCTCGAAAGAATTAAATAAGCTCAACATATTGTAAGTTGTAGCTAGTGAGGATAAACTTTTGAAATCATAATCAAATGCAGAACCTCTTGACGTTTCATCCATTCATCGATAAAAGCCTCCAGGGTTTTTTTGTAAAATAGTAAGTGAATGAAATGATGCCATACTAACAACAACTGTCCACAAAGTAGATCATATTGACGGTCGACAAAACCAATTCGATGTGAATTCTATATAAAAAGCTTGTGCGTATGGTTTGGAAGAATAATTGAGGTTAAACCAGAAACCTGAGTTAAGTCGGTCCAGCTGCAAACAATTTTTCATTTTAGTCACAATTATCATTCCTCTAAATCGTCCGAACTAACCACAATTCAAAATAGTTCTACTTGACACAGTGATAAATATTAGTATATGCTGGATAAAAATGAATGAAAATTAAAAATCGTATTTGTATGCATTGATATTCAACCACAAGTACTTGTATGACGAACAAGATTCCGTTACATAGGTTACGTTATTAGAATGTCTAAGTTTTGTTTTTCTCAACTACTGTAATACAGTGAATAGTAGTAAGTCAGAAACCTCTCCTTGAGTAGCGATTTTGTGACTGTCCAGCAACATTCTGTTTGTCGTTTTTAGTCATCCGTAATCATATGTATATACGAAGAACCATTAAGAACATTAAGACCTATTCCACAGCATTTCCACTATAAGCGATGAGTTTATTCCATTATTTATTCATACACATGTACTGATATATTAAATACTCCTACTCGACCTATAAATTACCACCTAAGAGACTAGGTGTTACAGGGAGGATTATACTTTTGTTTCCCTGTACAGTTAAGAAAAAAACTAGTTTTCAGGAATACATGTACTGGAGTGAGTCAGATACAGAAACCCTTTGTTCCAAAAGCGAAATAAGATTTAAGTGACGCATACATATATATGAAAACCTGAACAAAAGTTAGAATAAATGACCATGGATAATATTGTCCTGAGGTCTGTTTATATTTCCCTCGAGTAAAGTTTGGTTGAAATTTAGGGAAAAATTATACAATTTTCGCGAAACACGGAGTCCCGGATATCCCCTCAGCTACCTACCCTCAATTACAGGAGGCCTTATTATACCTAATAAGGCCTCCTGAAATTGAGGAACTCGAAGCAAAAGACCGAATGACCAGTCAAGATTACATCCACCATGAGCAGTTCTCGCTAATTGCAATTAATTCACCATTCATAATGTAATCAGATACTTAAAATTCCTAGGGCTCATTCAGCAAATCCAGAAGAGAAGGCATATGACTTCTGTAACTAAATCATATTATATGACTTTATTTGGTTACACTAACTGTCACTCCAGGTGAATGATAAAGTTTAAGTTCATCGGTAAATAAATGAAACACTGACCGCTCTTGACCACCCGAATCCAGATGAACACCCAACTAATATCATAAATAATAGTATGGGCTGACCTTGAAAATCATCTTTACATACGAGGCGCCGAACGACCTAATGTTTTAATTATTTTGTTGATTCAGTCAGACGATATTTTTCAGTTAATCGCGAAAGAATCTGGATTCCAGGAAAAGTTAGACCTGAATCCAGACAGAGTGAAGACAATTTATTTCAATGGCCGAACTAATGGTGATATAGATTAGGCTCACTATTACATGTGGAGAGGATACGACTTTCAGTCGGAAATAACGAATCACTATTCAGGTCGCGTTAGAGCAGAGTGATAATTAGTGTACGTAAATTTGATTAGTTTTCTATGCGATTTTTGCAAGCGTGTTATAGGTGATGAAATCTGCTTTTGTTTCCCTGAATTTTTTCCATCCCGAACTTTGTAATATTCTTACGACACATTATTCCTTCTGATAGTTATGAGACCACTTGAACAATCTAGTCCAAAATAATGTCAAGCCTAGATGCCAATGCCTGTGGTTTAATGAACCATAGTTTTACTGGCCTCGAGCACGTTGTACTGACCCTAACTGCATAGTTGACTATTAAGCTACAAGCACTACGTCATGTATAATCATATGGAGCACCATGCTATAACACTAGATAAAAGTAACATATTTCTACACGAATAAATTAATTTTCATCAAATAAGCGCCATTTTATAAGCATCATTGAACTCATATAATTTCACATTGTGAAGCGTTGGTAGTTTCATTATAATAGAGGTTTTTTGTATTTCCCAATGAATGAAAAAACAAAACGAGATTGTTTTTACTGACGTTTCGCTATTTAATGCTAATAGCTTTCTCAAAGTATTATTAAACCGGAATTTACAAAATCTCAGTAGTTGGTAGTTTCTTTTATTTTTTCGATACCTTAATTATGCGTCAGACTGTGGGAAACGAGAAGACAGGAATATCCTGGACTGACATGAAGAACCTGGAAGACCTGGGTTTCGCGGATGACTTATGTTTGATGTCACACACAATCGAAGACTTACAAGCGAAAACCGACCGACAAACTGGTCGAAGAAGCAGCCGGCGAAGACAGGACTCCAGGTAAACATAGACAAGACGGAGGTTATGAAAATAACCAACCAACAACAGCAACAACATCCAACGTCAATCACCATCAACGGGAGGGATTTGAAAGAGGCTACTTCATTCACTTATCCAGGGAGCACTGTCTCAACTACAGTAGGAGCGGACGAGGATATCAAATCGAGAATCGGGAAGGCGAGAAACACATTCATCAACCTGAAACCAATCTGGAAATCTTCGTCACTCAGCATCACCAACAAAATTCGGATTTTCAATACAAACGTAAAGTCAGTTCTTCTATACGGATCAGAAACTTGGCGGGTGGGTCACAAAGAATATTTCCAACAGCCTGTTGCAGACCTTTATTAACAACTGTCTTCGCTCACACTGAAGATCAGATGGCCGGAAAGAATCACCAACAAGGAATTATGGGAACAAACAAAGCAAGAACCAATCGCCAACCAACAAATATGCAGAAGAAAGTGGAGACGGATCGGACATTCGCTGAGGAGACCGCTGGGTGACATCGCGCGCCAAGCCCTCGAGTAGAACCCGAAAGGGAAGCGGCGTGTGGGACGTCAGTGCAAGGGTGACATGGAGGAGATCGTGTGAAGAGGAGTTGAAAGAATATGGATTAACATGGATGCAGGCGAAAAGTATAGCAGAAGACAGAAGAAAATGGAGACGTGCAGTTGAAGCCCTATGTTCCACTAGGAACCCAAGGGAACAATAATAATAATAAATTGTAATTCCATAAGTTTTCAGAATAAGGCCACCTTTGTGATGAGTAGCAAATCCATCCAAAGGGTTGTGGGGCATCTTCAGTGTCATTTCATTTTCTGTGGTTAATCTCACTCAATCTATAACGAACCATTGTTCGATTGAGTACCACATTCACGCGTGACTGGGAGTCCTTCTAGAACCAAGAAGATGCTCCACAGCAAAACCCAAAAGTTCACTATTGGTTATGTCACATCTCACACTATATACCAATTGACGTGTGTTTCATCGCACATACATGGGGGAAGAGTAATCGTGCTTTGTATTTGAAGGTGAGGGATCATATTCCGAAGTGGTTATAAACACAGATGAACTTTGAAAAAATTGAACTCATATGGCAGGCTTCCAACTTCGTCTATATTTTAACGCCTGATAGATATGAACCACAAGATTAACGTCGAAGCAGATTCAAGGTTATTTCCCAAAAAGATCGGAGCCATTTTCTGAAAAGTTCCGAGGAGATAGCTATTAATAAGCTGAGGCTCCCCCTGGGTGTGTACAAAAACAATATATTATTAGTCATAACCTATCTTGGTAATCATGATATGAGTGAATAACCAAACGTCACACTGTGTATTTTAATCGGCCCTTATTTTTCATATAAATTAACATGACAAATAAATATGTGATCAGATTTTTCGAAACGTACACTGCGCAAATACATCACACATTTCAGACAATCTCCGTCTTCTAATAACACTGTTCAAGACTAGGATAGGTGTTATAAAAAATGTAGTATTAATCTAACAAGGTGTTTTTATTTCTGCACAGCTGTACCTTGGGAGAGCAAGGAATAAGAATGAAGGTGGTAAGTGTTAACTTCACCAGAAGCTAAGACAAATAAGACTAATTGGAATATATCTGTTCTTAGGTGAAAATTGCCATGAAATGTAAAAATGATAGTTCGTTCAGAACTGGCGTTCGGAGGTCCGGTTAGGTAGAATGTGCTGACTTGTAAGCTTCTATACGAATCTGTGTATGGCCCGCAGGATCGTATCTCAAAAAGAAGCCGAACATTAGGCACGTGGTGTAGGCAGAAGTTTCGTATCTTGTTTAGATCTGGAAAACCATAACTGCCTTTAAGAAAGGATCCTAACTCATGCTTCAATCTAGGGCCATCAAAATGTATATTACGGTTACGGACGGGGGCAATTAATATTTGTTACTAGCATCGTATCTACTTATCACTGTGCGCTACACAGGTCGCTTCGAGTTGGCTGGGCACCCATCTGACCTAAGCCGGATGAATTTAGAACTATGTAAATAATCTCGGGCGGTAAAGCTGTATTTTGTGCTTTGCCCCGGTCGCTATCCCACGTCTAACAGAATTCGCATTCATTTCCGTTGGAAAATAACTTTGGTACCATAATCGCTAAAGTATCATTCCCCATTCATCTAAGCTACCTCCTACGAGGATACTGGAATCCCAAGAGCATTTTTCTCATGTAATAACTCGACAAAGGTAGGCATTATACTAACGAAGATTCTTGACGCGTTAGCGTTATTTATAGTCTGGCCATAGGGCCAATCGACTTGCAATTATTTTTCAATCACTTTTAATCTGTAGTATTGATATGCATCATTGGTAAAACGAGGTTTTACTGAATTGCCAGTTTCACATGACGGGAGATATTAGTCTCCAGATTTCCCAATTCAGTTTACACAGTCATTTTGGAATGGTCCTCAAATTCACCTTTTGTGTCGGTAAGAATACGCTAAGAAAGACATTTGCTAAGCAGACACTCAGTAACACTTTTCTTTGTGCACTGATTCTTTCGACTATGCATTGCTGTTGACATATGTGATTGATATCCGCTATCTGGAATAGACAGACGGCTGACGGAAAAATGTTGTCAATCGACGTGAATATTAATAGTTTGTTTCTAGGACTGATAGACATTGTGGGGCAACTTGGAGGCGTGAATGGTTTGATAGTGTACAAGTTCGAAGAGGACGACACAAAACGAATAAAAGTGCTCCGTAATTTTGCCTAAAACATTTGTATATAGACTTTTAGCGTTCTCCGCTTTAATTGCCAAACAATATAACTTCCTTCTCACAATACTGGTGTTTTGGAGTTAAAGTCGAAGTAGGTACATAGTATTTATCGGTGTGGAGCGTCTTCGTAGCAATAGGAACTTAGGGATAAGTTGCTTGACAGGTCTTATTCGTTTCCGTTCGTTTTCTGGAGTGCCTTGTGGGGCAGTTTTATTCCTCTGTTCGTTTTCTGGAGCGCCTTCTGGAACTTTCGGGTGTACTTAGTGGGTCTGCAACCAGCATCTCTTAAGAAACGGATTTTCAACGGAATTCGGATTCTTCGGTGACGTTGGATAATGCCTGGGTCGAGAAGAGGACGTGGCACCATGGAGGCAGACAAAAAAGTAAGTGAAGATGAGCTGCTTGTTAATTGTAATGATATGCATAATGCTCAGCATGATGAGTCTGAATTTCAAGCTTCATCGTTCAGGGATAGTAGTCCTTTGAGGATCTCCAAGTTTGAACTTCAGTACTTTGATGGATACCCAGCCGACTACCCACAGTTTATCAAAGAGTTTGAGGTCATGTTTAGTGGATTTGTAATAAATGACAAAATGAACATGATGTATTTGTTCAGGTATTGCACTGGTGTTGATGCAAGGGATATACAGTGCTTAAAGTTTGTGCCCCCAAACACTGGACATACTGAGGTGACGCGTATCCTGAATCAAAGGTTCGGAAGACCTTCGATGGTTGTATTCGAGGCTGTTAAAGGTAATGGCAGTTGTCAGTCAAGTCTCATAAACCGTCAGTGTCCAGCTCTTGCTACGCTAGGGGTCACGCTGTCCCTCGAAAATTTTCAGAAGCGCTTAGTATTAACCGACGCGAAAACCAAAGCACTGTTTGGCGACTCAAAAATCCTTTGTTCTAACGCCTATTCTAACATATAACCAACAATACTGTTATTACAGAGTAAGGTCTAAGAACAAATGTTGTAACAATAAATCACGATATCACTTCTGATAGTTTTTTAATCTTCCTTCTGAACAGCGACGATGGGACGATGACTAATGGATTGATGACTCCGCGAAAAATATGGGGAAGTTGGGTTTGAGCAAACAACCATGAATCGATCGTTCAATCTTCAACTACATTGACCGTAGTCAATTACAAGATGACTCCAAGGCACCCACTGGGTTTCTGGATAATCTGATGACTTACAAGAATACTCTGATTTCGATGAATTGCATGAG